TAAAAATGGTAATCCATAAGCATTTCTAGAAAGGCAGATTTTCATTGCCAGCAGCTGTTTTACCCAGTTGCCTTCACTGTGGGCAGTAGACTGTGCCTTTGTCCAGGGAACCACGGCTGATTTCCAAAATCAGCAAAAGAGCGAGACTGTAAATGACCAGGTCTGGGCCCTAGGGCTGTTCTGTCCTTTTAGATCTTTTGTTTGTTAAGAGCACTTTTAGGTTCACAGAAAATTTGAGCAGAAAGTACAGATTTCCCATTTGCCCATACCTTTTTTACCATACATGTACTTCACCACAGTAGATGTTTGTTACATTCCCAAAGCCCCTGCACACTTATACGAACTGAATTTTCTAACTTTAGGAAATGGCATTTCACAGAGTTACTGTTTTTAAGTGAGAATATATCCATAGGTACTGAATTTATAGTGGATAGTACTAAAGGTCAGTAGTAGAAATGGTATCCAGCCAGCCAGAGATAGTTTTAGGATTGTAGACGACAGAGTTCCACTCACATGGAAAGATTCCCCCATGGTCCCTGGTTCTGTATACTGACATTCTGGCAGGAGCAGAGACTGAGCAGGGGTTGACAATATGTTCCCAGGACTGTCAGTGGCCTTGTATCTTTCTGGTCTGGCTTGCATATTCCTGTTCCTTTAATATTACAAAGACAATGGCCCAGGGATTTATCTCAGTGGAACTTCAAGGTCCTGAGTTCAGTCCCTGGTACCAAAAAAAACCCAAAAAAACAAAGAAAAACTCCAAACATTACAAGCACACAAAGCAAATTGTGTCTTAATTTATGTAAGACAAATTCAGTGCATCCACTTTTTCTTTCGTTTTTTTCCCATTGTCAAAGTAGGAGAGTCAATCAAACTGTAGCAAATGATGCTCAGTGAGCAGTCTGCCATTTCTACACCAAGTGTTCAGTTATTTGATGCTTCTGAAATAGTTGATCAACTGTTTTTATTTTTTTGAACCAGGGATCAAACTCAGGACCTTGCTCTTGCAAGGCAGACACGGCACCACTGAGCTAAATCCCTGGCCCCAAGTTGATCGAGACCATTGTTAACCTACATTCACAGTACTGAGAATGCCTATCAATTTTCTATTTTTTTTTAAGGTTTCCTAAAGTTAGTGATAAGCTGAGCCTTGGAGTCTTAAACTCTAGTCTTTATCATCTTAAACTTTTGTCTTAAAGTGAGCAGTTATTATTGTGTAATAGCAAACAGATTTTTCTTAGGAATACCAGCAGCAGGGTGGCTGAGGGGTCATTCCCTCATAAGTGAGTTTGTCTTCTTCAAGTTAACATCATGCCTTATGGCAGAATATCGCATCTTGGTTTCCCCTTTGTGAGCTATAGTTTCAGAGAGAGTTTTGGTATTCCTTGAGCCAAGAAAAGCGTTTTTCATTTGGCTGTGTCTTTTTTGTTCTCACAAGAGACAACGCAAAGTTAAATAAAAAGTATACTGTTTTAAAAATATTTTTATTAGAGCTGGGGATGTAGCTCAGTGGTGCAGTGCCTGCCTGGCAAGTTCAAGGTCCTGAGTTCAATCCCTGGTACTATTAAAAAAAAATTATTGCATAAATATCTATAGGTGTATATATAGCATAAATCAAATGTGTGACTTAATGATTTATAAAGTATTCATAAGTACTGTCCAGATCTTGAAATAGAACTCTGCTGGGCATCCCAGTACACACTCCCCTCTGCCCGCCTCATCCCAGTGACAGCCCATCTCTCCCACCAAGGGGGACCATAATCCTGACTTTTTTAGTAATAACTCTGTGTGTTTCTTTTTACATTTTTATCACCCAAATGTATACTATGATTAGCCTTCCCCATTTTTTTAGAATTGCATATTTAGAGGGCCGGGACAGGAGTTGAAGAACAGCCCATATAGTTACATGGCAAGACCCTGTCCCTAAATAAATAATATATGTATTAAAAATATAAATGAGGGCCAGGGATCTAGCTCAGTGGTTCTGCCCTCTGCCTTGCAAGCGCAAGGTCCCAAGTTTGATCCCCAGTACAAAAAAAAATATGTGTGTGTGTGTGTGTGTGTGTGTGTGTGTGTGTGTGTGTGAATGAAAATTGTATACTACCATAAATAAGGGCTCTGGCCTTTACAAATGTATTTTGACTTTGTACATGTTTTCAGATATGTAGCCTCACTTGAAGGAAAGACCTTGGTTTCAGTGACCAAGTAATGTCATATATCTTGTTTGAGAAGAACCCGCTCTTCGGTATTTGGTAAATGTTGTGAACTGACCAAAAGCTTTAGATATTGTTGTTTTGGTGGGTTGGTTTATTTGTTCGTAGGTTATTTGTATTTTGTCTGTTTTAACTTTGGAGTATCCTAAAGGTAGAAGACTTCTTTATTCATATTTTTTCTGCATTAACTACTTAGTAAATTTTATGAAATTAATTAAAATGAAAAAGCTGCTATTTATGGCTTCCAAAACATGCATGTCTCATTAATGTTATGGTGTTCTGCAGTGGTCAGTCTTCGCCCTCCTGTGTGAGGTCTGTCTAGTCCACTGCCTGAGAGGCAGTGCGTGTGTGTGTGTGTGTGTGTGTGTGTGTGTGTGTTGGTACCAGTGATGTTAAGTCAGTAGTCATCAGACAACCCAGCGAGAGTCCAGCCTGCTCTTGGGGAGCTTGGAGACCTGTGAAGGTGATAGGTCACAGCCAGTTGGGACTCATGGGAGCGGTTGAACTGACTTTGTGCAGAAATCAGGAAGGGGATACCACCTCATCATTTTGCCTCTGTTGCTCAGTTTTCTTTCTCTAGGGAGTTTAGCTTTCCGGCTTTCTGCTTGTTTAATGAGCTGTCCATATGTAGCCGAGCTCACCCAGCTGGGTTGAACAGGTTGTCTTTGTGGAACTCAGGTTGTGCGTGCACAGTAGGAGTTGGCTGTGTTAGAAGTAGTCCCCAGACTCAAATTGTCGGTGCTGGAAAAAGTGTACTCAGACAACAAGCAGGCAGATTTAACAAGGCAAAAGTTTACTTTTACCGAAGGATGCACGAAGCAGTGGGCACTTGTGGAGCTGGCTCTTTTTTCCTTAATGGAGGAGGAGTAGCTGACCTCTTCCCCATTGGATAGTAGAAGGTTCACCATCTGCCCTGACTGGATAACTCAGGCAGCGCAGGAGGAATCAGAGGAGTTACTGAGGGTGAGGAATGAAGGGGAATGTAGAGAACAGAAAGTCCTTGACTTGATAAATTATCTTTGGTTTATAGCTGTGTTCCCTTGGTTTGAACTGAGCAGGCAGCTTTGTGACTAGTTCAGGAAGGGCTGTTCAGGGTAAGTGAGAGCCTGAAACACAGACAGTCCTGTTTGACAGAAAAGACAGAGCTTATTGTTTCCCATAGCTGGCATTGAGTTATGAAACTTTTTGAATTTCATACAAGTTATAGAAAGGTCCTTGATTTTGATTTTTCTTGATAATAAAATGTGTATGAAAAAGAGGAGAGGGCCTGGAGAGCAGCAGCAATTAAGTTGGCACAGAGAATGGGGTGGGAATTTACTGAAATAATTATTTTTCTTCAGTGCTGGAGATGAGCCCAGGGTCTTGTGCATGCTAGGCTAGTGCTTTGCTGTTGAGCCACATGCCCAGCTCTTTTTGTTTTGAGAAAGGATCTTGACTGAGTTGTCCAGGCTGGCTTCCAAGTAGTGACTCTCCAGCCTCAGCTTCTGGAACAGCTAGGATTACAGCTGTGTGCCACTGCACCTGTGTGTGTGACAATTGTTTATTGATTATATATCTGGTATTTGTATCTTCCCTCCACCGCTTTCAACATGGCCTTTGCGATATTATGTTTAACCATTATATATTTTCATTTAAATTGATTTTCAAACTTAATAACACATTTGAGAAGGAAAATTGAGCTTGGGTATGGTGATGTACATCTGTATGCTTAGCTGTGTAGGAGCCTGAGGCAGGTTGATCACAAGTTGAAGACTTACAAGACCTGTCTCAGAATAAAGAAAAAAAAAAGGGGGCAGGGAGCTGTAGCTCAGAACTCCCTGGGTTCAATCCCTAGTACTGACCACCAAAAAGGAAAATTTCCTTAAATAGTAGGTAACTATATTAATAAACACAATAAAGAACAAGCCTCTTTTAGAAGAGCAACTGATATTTATTAAAACAATGAATGGCTTAAAAATAGAGACCTCTCCTTTAGTGCAAGAAGGATTGAAAAGGACATGAGCTCTTCCCTGGCCCTCTTTGACCCTCACTGTCATCTGTTACTTGGGCCATGGGGAGCAATGAGGTGATCATGAGTTTGGGTTAGGGCAAGAGCTAGAAGGGCCTGGCCTGGGGCAGGTGTTCTTGACCCCGTCTCTGTTATCAAGGGATATCCAGGGTTCTGTTCAGTGCCAAACCTGAAATTACCTGCCCAAACAGTGGCACCCCTCCAGGCCAGTGAGGCAGAAATTAGAAAAACCAAGGAATACAGAAACAAGCTCAGCTGTCTTTACATACCTTTCTTGGTATCTTCCCTACCCCAAGTAGCTGTCTTCTCTGCACAGGTAGTGAAGATGAGAGACAGATGCACGGCTGCATCAGACCAGGCTGGGTGCTGCCTGACACTTACTGATGCCACACCTCACGGTGCCTGTCATCTTTGCTAGAATCAGCACTGCCTAGAATTTAGCAAGGACTGTTGGCATGGGGACGGGGTGGCCCAGGGAGGGTGGGCTGCTGAGGTCATGCCAGGTGAATGGCATGACATCTCTCAATCACTACTCGGATTTTTGAGGGGCTGAGGAGTTAATATGTGTGCTGGCTCAGAGCACCCAGGAAATGTTATCTTATTTTATGTTCCACCTGTATGTGTATAGCCTTTTTTGAGCTCTTTATTTGGATGCAACTTAAGACTCAGAGAAGTTGTAAAAATAATATAATAAGTCTTGTGTGCCCCATGATTTTTTTACATTGTTTTAACATGTATATAAGTCAGTAATGCCTTGATGTATTTTGGTTTTATTTTAGTGTTTCTTTCACTGTTAACCGATGAAGAATGGGGGAGATAGAAGGAACATACAGGGTCCTGCAGACAGCTGGTACGCGCTTAAGTACTCAGACCCCAGTGGGCGTGAGCACCCTTGAGCCAGGGAAAATGCTGTCACCCAGAGTGCCGGAGAAGCACACACGTGTCAGAGTGAAGCTGCTAGACAACACGGTGGAAATATTCAACATCGAGGTAAGAAGCACAGCCTTTATCTTCTAAATGTCAGGTATTACATACCAAATGCCATTTTGCTGGTTAGATACTGCGTATTTGTCCAATTGGCCAAGAGTGGCTTTGGTGAATACACAGTGAAATTCTGGGTACAGTGACTGTAAGTTCTTTTAGTTTGTTAAAGCTGTTATTCACACCAGGTTGGCAACACACACCTGTAGTCCCAGCACTTTGTGAGCTGAAGCAGGAAGATTAACAAGTTCAAGTCTAGCCTGGAAACGTAGCAGTTTAGCAAGAACCTGTCTCAAAACAGTCTGGGGATATAACTCAGTGGAAATTTCCTGAGTTCAGTCCATAGTATCAGGGGGAATAAAAGGTATAAAATTCTGATGGGAGTTGGTCTACCCAAGCTTTTCTTTTGAGAGGCTGGCTGAGAGAACTGCCGAAGGGTGCAATGCAGCCAGATTGCTTCACTAGAGCCTTTCCTCCATAGCCACCTGGAAGAGGGGACAGCACTGGCCTCAGAGTGTGTCAGCATCTTTGTCTGAAACCTTGGTCCAGCTCTCCGTCTCAGGCTGGCTGGTGTGACATCGAGTACATACCATGTTGAGAAAGCCTGGTATACCAGAGTGGCGCAGCGTGTTAGTACTTAACTTATTTTTCCAGGTCAGCAATAAATTTTTCATTTTGAACAATTCCCTTCTAGTAGATCGCACTGATAATATTGACAAAAATGACTGAATATAGTAAAAATATTTGTATATATTGACATATAACACTGCTTACTTTTTAGACTCACGATATATTAGAAAACATTTTCTCTGTTTAAATGGTATTTGGACAATATTATTTTTTTTAATTGCTAATTTATTTTCATATCTAATACATAAGTCCATTCTCTTTATTCTAAGATTTGTGTATTGGCTTAAAGTAATATAAAGTTTTAGAGGATTTTCCTACTCTTAATGTCACAGAAGTAAGGATAAGAGAATGATCTTGTAATGGTTTATATCTCACTGTACCCCCTAAGCTTCATGCACTTATAGGTGGGGCTTTTTGGAGGTGGTTGGGTCATGAGCATGTGATACTAGATTATGCATGTGTCAAGTAGAGTATCCACTGATTACTTTAGCATAGTTCTAGATGTGGATAATGGGAATGCCCAACCCTGTATGTGGATGGCATCAACCAACAGGCTTACAGCCTGATTAAAAAGGAAAAGGAAGGCTTACTGCCTCTTGCCTGCCATGCCATGAACTGTTTCTCCTCTGCTTTACTCATCTGCCATGCTGCCCTGCCTTGGAACCAGCTGGCTGTTGAATGAAACCTCTGCAGACTGAGCTAAAATAAACCTTTGCTCCTTTAACATGTGGGTGTTGAGTATTTTGTCCCAGCAATGAGAAAGTAACCAAGACAGATCTTAATTAACTTCCAGCAATAGATTTATTTGTGCTTGGATATTTCTGTTAAGGATCAAGATACTACATAGAAAATAATAAAGACCCAATTCAAAAATGGGCATCTGAAATGAACAGATATTTCCCAGACAAACAAGTAAAAGCAGAAAATAAGAAGAGGCTTGATCTGTGGGGAAGGTCTACTTATTCCAGAATGTGTTGGGGCAGATGGGTGAGGATGGGTGGAACGACCTGAAGCTATCATTCTTCCTGGAGCCCTGGACAAGGTGATTTTGTCATTGAGTGTCAGATGGCAAGTACAGTATCAAGTGCTACAATTCAAGAGCTCCAGGGGACCCAAATGCTTTTCAGAGGGTCTCATCTGAGGAGGAAACCAAATATTTCATCATGGCAGTCAACCTGTTTTTGAGAAGGTCTGTTGCAATGCTGATTGAATGTGACTAGAGTCCCTCAGAAAGTCAATTTAAGGGAAGAGACATTTATTTCAGCTCACAGTTTCAGAAGTTCCAGCCTGTAGTTGGCAGACTCCAAAGCATAAACATCATGGTGGAAAGGGATGGTGGAGGAAAGCTGCTTACAGCATAACAGCCAGAAAGACAGCCAGAAAGGGGCTGTGGACAAGAATACTCTTCTAGCTTATGTCCCCAGTGACTTGCTTCCTCCAGCCAAACCTCACTTCCTAACAGGAGAGTCCTAGTTAGGAATTCATTAGTAGGCTAACCCATGGATCAGGTTAGCATTCTCATGATCCAGTCGCCTTTCCAGAAGCCTCACTCTGAACATATCTGGCTTTGAGGGATATTTTGGCTCTAAATCCCAGCAGTGACCTTTGAGCCCAGGAGAGGTAGTATTGTTTGCTCCTCTGCCACCTCTTTGATGGCTCTCCTTTAGGAAGTAGGTCAAAGATCTGGAAACTGAACTAGATTCCCAAATCTTTTCCAGTCAGATGTTCGGAAGAATTTCCATTATACAGCCATCCTATGCAAATGAATTTGCCAGAATCAAGGTTTATAACAGGTTCAATGTTAAAAACAAAGCAGAAAGAAAAAGATTTGCAATATTCAGGGTTTGTTTTTATATGTTTTATTTTTCCTGTTTGACGGTCTTTAACAACCAAATCTAGGATCCAAAAGTTGATCATACATAAAATGTAATCCTCTGTAATGCTGTAACCAAGAATTTAAGATACTGTTTACCAAAGAAAATCCAGCAGTGCTATTTTGTGAATGTTTCAAAATATTTGGAGCTTGTTAGAGTTTCAATACATTGAAAATTGTTTCTGTTAGTCCATTCTGTCATCTTTGGTATTTGATATACCTAGTAAAGTTACCAGAAATTGAAGAATTTCACTTGGAAAAAATTATTATTGTATATCCTGAATTTTTCATGGTACTTCTTTTTACATTCTGTTCCTGATCGATACATACTTTTCTTTTTTTCTTTTCTTTTTTTTGGGGGGATAGAGGATCTCAATATATTGCCCAGAGCTTGCATGCACCACTGCATCTAATTTGATGCACACTGTCTGGAGTTAAAATAACATATATTAGAGTGGTATCTCAGTTTACGAACTTAATTCTTTCCACATTTCTGGTCGAAAAATGAATCGGACAAGAACCAAATCAAATTTCTCCATAAGGTCAACATTGAACCTAACCACTGAATTTGACTTGGTTCTTGTCCAGTTCTATTTGTGACCAGACTCGTGGAAAGAGTCAAGTTTGTGAACCAGGGCACCACCACTGTACAAATTTAGTGGTATTGTGCTCGTAGGTATAGCCTCCCTGGTTGTATCGGTCTGTTGTTCTAAGTAGTATACCACTCCAGAATTGAGTGACTTAAAGCACTTACTAATTCCTACATATTGTTGATTGGGAGTTCTTCAGGGCTGAGCTGGCTAGGAGGCACTGGTGGCCTGGGTTGACCTCACTGGCCTGGGACCCTCCTGGAGCCTCTCTGTGTGGATGTCATCCTCCTGTGAACTTGTCATGGAGATGTTTTCAGTATAGGAGTGGGAGCTGCCAGATGCCTCAGGAGACCACAGCTTCGAAATTGTCTGGTGTCATTTCTGCCATGTTACACTGACCAAAGCAAACTACCAAACAAGTCCAGATTCAAGGGGTGGAAACAGTCGCCTTGATGCAGAGTGGCAAGGAATCAGTGGCCATTTTTCAAAGTCCATCTCAGCAGTCTCCAGTGAAGCAGGAATGCAACCTCTGCAGGTAACACTGACATTCTAGGTCTTAGGATCTGGTCCAGTCTCACAGCTGAGGTGTGGAACCTGCAAGAGTGGAACTCCTCTTCAGTAAAGTGAACTCCCACCCCGAGAGGCAGTTTGCCCTGCCTCTTCCTCTCCACTGTGTCCCAGGGTTTACCCATCTCTGGATTGAGGCCTTCCTTCCCTGTGCCACAGGCACTGGTCCACTGGTGTCAGTCATATTCTTTCTTGTGGCCCCTTCCTTATGTTTAAACTGAAAGACAAGCTGTGGTCTGGTAACTTTTTTGATCTATAGACTGGACAGACTGGGCACTGCAGGGCAGTGGTTAGACAGACTGGTGAAACCATGGCTGGGCAAGTCCATCTCAGGAAAGAGCAGGTCCTAGCCATGCTTGTTGATTTTCTCTATGGAGGACACATTCTGGAAGGGAAGAGGCCTAGCTTAGGAAATACATATCAAAGGAATGAAATCAGAACTTAGATTGGTTAACATGCTTTCTTTAAGAGGGTTTCCATTTTTCCCTCTATTGCAATGTTGTTTAACCTCAGATTTACTTTTTCTGTTGTGAGGATTCTTGGTCTTATGCACCTGACTTACTGTCCCCCTGCTTGACTTTTTTTTTTTCTTTCTTTCAGTCAACTCTTAAGCAGTAGTGGTTTTCTAGGGAGATGAGCTAGAGTGACCCCTCGCAAACTCTGTGTGCAGATGACTGAAGCACTGGCATCTTGTGTGGGTATGCAGATTCCCAAGTTGGTACTGAAAGTTTAAAGGACCATTTTAATTTAGAGAAGATTCTGACATTCAGTTGTTTTTTTGAAGTCCTCCTCTTTTGTCTGCTGTGAAAATACAGAGCAGCCTGAAGCCCTGTGTGCCAGGCTTGTATCTGTCCACATGAGTTGGTGGTCACTGTCTCATGGCTGTTTTCAGGCTGTCCAGCTGTCCTGATTGTAGTTTCCTTCAAAAAGGTGAGCTTGGAAGTCCAGGCTTTTTTATGTGGTTGGTTGTTTGGGTTTTTGTTTTGTTTTTTTTTTTTTGTACTCGGGATTACACTCAGGACCTTGCACTTAGAAGGCAGCAGGCACAGTGCCATTGCGCTAAATCCCCAGCCGGAAAGCCCCATTTTTATCTTTCTCCCAGAGGGAGCAGGTGGAAAGGTGCTTTCTGTCCAGGCAGACGGGTGCAAGAATTGGAGATGATTCTGGAGCTAAAACTGCTGGCCAAGAAGTGTGTGGTGCTGAGTACAGGGCAGGGCTTTGTTCCACTCCTTCTGAACTAGATCACACATTCCTGCTTAACTTTTACACCCCTCTAGCAAAATGGCTCAAAGCGAAAGCCAAGGTTCACTCTTACATGTTGAGTATTTATTAGTGTTGGAGGATAAGGT